CCCCTGATAAAGCACTGATCTCTGATCTTCAGAAACTCCCTGCTGCCTTTCTTCTTATCCTATCTACCTATTTATTGCTATTGTACACCTCACCTGCACTCACGGTCAACACATGCTCTAAGAAAACTCCCTGAATCTAAACTTCTTGTGAGTTACATGTACACAGAGACATTCTTGTGTCACACAGAAAAGCAGTACCAGCTACGAGCTAACAAAGGTAGTACTGGTACAGTACAGGGCTCTCTCCTTCAGGTCTTTCCCGTAGAGATTGTATTTCCCTGCTATGTAGTTGAGGATGGCTCTGGTCTGCACCAACTTCATCCCATCGATCTCCACCATGGGCACTTGCTGGAACAGCAGGAATCCATCTGGGGAAGAAGAAGACAACAAGACGCTCAGTCTGTGACTGAAGACCATCCATGGGGATATGGGGAAATAACCAATGTTGTTTTTCATTTGTGGCATGCTTCCTCAATCTCCTTATACAATATGGGAAAAGTAGTTTGGAAACCTAGACTACTGTTAATATTTATGTTCATGTTTAGAGTTAATATACGCATTAATATGTCTTTGTGACTCCTACGCTGACTTTACATTGGCCGAATAACGGTTGGTGTTTCCCATGATTAGTGCAAGAGCTAAATACAACTTGATATGAGACTGTAGTTGTGTAAATCCCTTCCTGAGGAAGATCAGGATGGCAAATGCCACTCTGAGTTAGATATCTTTGAAAAGACAAGCAATGATCACAGATGCGTAATTTGGTTTGGAGAAACCATGCTTACAGCAATGGAATCTATAGAGGGCAATGTGAGTCGCTGCACAGAAAACAGGACCACACCTGTGCAGGTTAAACTCAGAAATCTAGAACTCTGGCTCCATACAGATTATCAAACAACAGCTTTGTGGGCAGCCTAAAATGTGAATGAATTTCATGATGATGTGACTGGAGAAAATGTACAGACATGGGGTAACTGGCAATGGGTTCATACTGATACAGAGAAGGTGCCACGTGAACACCAGGAAACACAGTTACTGTGTGGGTCATGGGGTGCTGGCAGAGTTTGCCCAGAGTCTGTGGAGTCTCTTCCTTGGAGATCTTCAAAAGCTGCCTGGATGTGGTCCAGGGGACCTACTCTGGGTATCCCTGCTTGAGCAGGAGTTGTGCCAGATGGACCCCGAGGTGATGGTTACTACAGCACGTGTCTGTCTGTCTGTACCAGCCAATCTAGGTTTTCCAAGAAACAAAAGTTAACTCTTGTGATCTAGGACAAACAAATTCTAATCATCGTTATTATTGAATTATTAAAAAACTAAAGGAAACTTACCTGTCCTTAACTTTCGGAGATCTTCCTTTGTTTCCACAAATCTTTCTTCAAACTGCAGGGAATACAGAAGAAAAATTGTATTCTGATTTCATGTTTTAACTTCTGCTCGTCATGACATAAGGGCCCAAAGACAACACAGTAGAAATGCCAAATCAGGTTTTAAGGAATTAGCTAGCCTTTGCCATATTGTCTCCTAATACCTCTGCCATTCAATTCATAAATCTTCTGGGCAAGCTAAGGTTGCTCCGAAAGTACTGCCTCCATTCCCTCCTCCCCCCCCCATGGAAACTACAATTCATATAAAGAGCAGAAGAACACTGTTTAATAGAATAAAATATCACCAAGATAATACTGTACTTCAAAACAGTCACCATCATTAGCTGTGAGTTTTCCTCAGTGATGAACAAGAGTCTGCATGCCTTGTTAGTAAAAATATGCACGACCATCTGAAATATGGCTAGTCTTCCACATCACTGTCGAAAACTGATGAAGCTCATTGCTGTGCTCACATCCACTATTTAGCCTCCATAACTATTCAGAAAGCACCGGTCAGTGTCAATGGGCGCCATTTTTTCTGCATGGGGGAATTCAATTCCACACCTTTCCTATATACGCACATTCACGGCAGATGCCATGGTGGCAGCAGAGGGGCAGTCTGACATCTTTCTCCAGCAATAACATGGAATGAAATATTGCCAGGAACATTCAACCTCCACTGCCACAACAACAAAATCCACCTCTGACATCATGGGCACACATAATAAAAAAAGGGGCATCATTTTCAGAGCAGTCCTCCTACACTGATACCAGCACTAATATAAATATAAGCTATTTTGGACACTGAGAGCAAACTAGAGGCCATCAGAAATTGAAGGACTCATCTCCTCAGATCAGAGGAGACAAGTCCTGCTGTGCTGTGTTTTCAACTCATTTCTTTCACTTCTCACAAGGCACATGGATGTATAATGCTAACAGTGGGACTGACACACAGTGCTTGGAAGAGAAACAGGAACTTTGTCATCACAGGCTTGGTTCTGGTTGTGCAATGCATTAAAGGGAGAATCTGAAACTGCTGGTATGTCCCATTATCAATAAAGAATACTATAAACAAGTGTTTGTCACGTGTTCTTAGTACAACAACCATATACAAACCTCAACTCCAGCAGCTGCTAGTAGCCACCTTATTGGTTCCATTCGGCCTCGTATATTAGCATAGTGCACAACTGGCTTCCCAGACATGCTTCCACGTATCTGATGTCCTTCTGTCTAGAATGAAGAACTATCACAAATCAAGCAGGATCAGAATCTGTTCATCAATCTCCAACTGGTTCTCAAGCACCGCTCAAAGTTGTCTTCTTTTAAACCAGTGACTGATAACATAGGACTCTCATCAAATCAGCAGAGGAGACAAGAGGGAGAACGTATTGGAAAGCAGTACTGTATTTCACACGTGCAGTTTAGTTAAGGACAACTGTGTGCTGACAGCAAGTGGCCCATATCAGAGAACTTGCAAAGCAAAGATTTCTTCCAGCCCAAAGCGTTCCGCTCAGTCTGAAGATCTGCATAAACTCAGTAATTACTGCAGTTTCTCTGCTAGAGTTTACGGTCCACTATAAAGAGACAGGAAGAATTTTCCCCACTATCCTTGTTCACATTCATATAATAAAATCATAGAACCATTAGAGTTAGAAAAGACCTTTAAGATTGTCTTCTCCAACCATGCAGCCATCCCCACCATGCCCTCTGTAAAATCAATGAATTTTAAGATGCTATAACTACAAAATAAACAAGAGAGTTAGGCAAAACAGATTATAATAACAAAAAGAGAATAGATAGAAAGCTTACCCATATCCTGGGCTCACCTACAAAACTCCAGAAGAGATCCTACCCCACTGGTAGCCAGCTCTTAAATGCGTCCACAAGAGCTGGAGCCAGGCTCCACCCCTTCCTGCAGCACAGGTGAGTTGCCTTCACCTTGCTCCCAAGGCTGACTCGTTGCTCACCTCAGGTGATCAATCAGAGGTTCAGGCTGTGACTCAGCAGTCCCCATACACCCTCTAACCACGTCCCTCAGTGCTACATCTGTGCTTTTCTTGAACACCTGCAGGGACTGTGAGTGCACCTCTTCCCTGGGCAGCCTGTTCTAATACCTCACTGTTATGGCTGAGAATAAATTGTTTTCCTAATATCTGGACCTGCTTTCCTAACCTGAAACTCCTCTGGTGCAACTTGAGGCCAGCACCTTGCCCTGTCAATTATTACCGTGGAGAAGAGGCCGACCCCCACCACGCAACAACCTCCTTTGGTGTTCAAGGCAATAAGGTCTCCCCTGAGCCCCCTCTGCTCCAGACCACACAACCCCAGTTCCCTCTGCTGCTCCTCATAACACTTGTGCTCCACACCCTCCACAGTTTCAC